TGCAGCAAGAACCGAGCTCGGTTCTGCAAGACCTCTGCAGCAGAGGACCGAACTATGGATTGAATCCATAGCTTGGCACTTGGCTGCTTAGGCCTTCCATAAAGGCCTGACTGCAAAATGCAGGCCAGAATACAGCTGCAGAATGAAGTTGCTCCTTTGGCCCCAGAAGAAGTGGACCTGCTGGGTGGGGCTGTCTGTGCCGGAGGTGATTAAGGCATCCCCCGAAAATAAGACCTGGTGCCTCTTTTGGAGGCAAAAAAAAAAAAAAAGTCCTGGTCTTATTTTCAGGGAAACATGGTACATGCTCTTCCCCATTAATGTTAAATGATATTTGCTGGAACAATTGGGAGATGGGATACGTTTCCTAAAGTGAGCATAGTTGTTCCCAAGTTTTCCTAGAGCTCCATACATTTTGCCTTTCCACTTTTATTTCCCCCCTTTTTTCAACAGCTTTATGGAGAACTATGAGATTTAGGCTGCAAATATCCAGACAACTGCAAGGTGATAGCAAAGAGACTCATAAATAATTCCTTCTAAAGGTATTTGAATTGCTGTCCTGGATTGCCCTACAGCTAGCATCTCACCTGTTTTGCGAATTAATAGAAGGATTGTCAAGAACCTCTATGAATGTGTGGAAAACTTTAAAAGCTGTGTTCCAGCACTGGGCATTGCCTCACATGATTTTATGCTGATGGGGAGGCATTTTTTATAAGTTCTCTAAATGTGCTTCTCTCCTCATATTTTTAAGATTATTATAATAAACTAATCAATAAATGAAAAATGCCAATATGTGCAATAGCACTGAGAGGGCAACGCTACCTCAGAATTAATAAGCATAGCAGTTTGAGAAGAAAAAGAAGAAAGATGGAGGAGCTCCTGGACATTTGTGGCAAAGCAAAACAACTTGAAAGGTTTCACCGTGTTTCATTGAAAGGCTGCTTCTCTCCTCCCTTTTCTCTTCCCCTTTTTAAATTCCTAATTGAAATGTTGATAAGCAACACATAACAAACAATTGCTGCAAATCGGTATAGATTTCTCCTTTAAAGAATATAGAAAAGTAGATTTAGCTAACTTCTAGGTCTGCAGAAAAAAAGCACAATTCTTCATAGATTCCAGATCTTGGGCATTTTCCATATTGAAGCGCTGCAAATAACAGAAGGATGCTCAAAGCTTGCAAATCAGTCTGATGCTAGTTAGGTCACTTAGTTCAAAGGTCATAGGGAAGATGGCAAAATGTTTTTGATGCTCACTTCTCTGTGGAATTGGGTGTTCTTAGTCATGTTTTTGCAGCAAGCAATGTCAAGTGAGCAAACAGACAATCTATTGACAGACCTATTTCATCACCAGGGATTCAGAGGGTACTTTGATAATTCCCTGAGAATCTGCTAAACTGCTCAATTGAGACCTTAGTCATCACTTGGTATGAAAGGTTGATGACAGTCTTGGATCAGACTGTGCTTATTCAGCCTTTCACTGTTGAGAATCTTGACTATCTCCCTGGCTTTCAGAAGAGCTCCAGGGTATGAAATAACAGAGGAGCTATCTGGAATACTGTTATAGAAAGATCAGGAGCAAATCTAACCAAATATCTAGAGAGAGTCTATATTACTGGTTATATCACAGCAATACCAGTGGCAAAATATAATAATATTTTCCCACCATTGTTGCACCTGCAGTGTCATTTGTCAACTTTGTTCAACATAACCAAGTCCCCTGGAAATTATTTTAGAGTTCTGATGGTTAAAATTTCTTGGATCCATTCTAAACTTCACTCCAGCTGTTTATAACCTGTTGAGATGGCGTGAGGTAATAACTGTGAGATAATATTCAAACTGGTAAACATCAAAATTGTTCCAGGAATCTATTTACACGGATGTTTTTATTATACTGATTAGCCCTGGCATTATATATGATAATGGAAATTATCATCAACATGAATCTGGAGACAAACAAGCAAATGTTATGACCAGCTGAAATGAAGAGTAAATCTCTCTTAATTTCATACTAACAACTGGGAATTGCTTGGAGGTGGGGTAGGGATTTTTACCTTCCTTCCACAGTAAATATCCTGCTAAGTTTCTGAGTGTTTGTTAAGAATGGATTCATCAGTATTTTTTCTTTCTTTCATCAATTCTGAGCAATAAACTTATTTTCTTTTCTACTTCTCTAATATTTTTTTTAAAAAAAATCTTAATAGGAAGTAAATGAATGTATAAAATTGATTTTTTTTCTTCCTTTCCTGGAAAAAGATAAATATCAATATTTTCTACGATTTTCCAGAAAAGATGCCTCATGTATGGAATTCATGTGTTGTACAAATCTCAGTAAATTTTCTTTTAGGATTGCCAACATAATTCCTCCTTGAATTATAATATTCTTTACAGAACATTTTATGCATTATTTGGAGGAGATAAATCATTATTATTTACTGTATTTCAGTTAGTACATTATGGCAGCTGTTTTATTATTGACATGCAGTGGGTCTGAAAGAACTCCACACTACATTGGATAATTTGGTTCATGTACATATGCATATACATCTAAGGCAGTACTCTCTATAATCCAAAACTGAACTCAGATGAAAGTTCATTAGTGATATGTGAAAGGTTACAGAGAGACACATGCTAACTTCCCCACTTCAAGTATAGTCCATGGATCCTGAAAAAGTGGTCTAAGTCCCATAATTGTATTCTCATGTTTTAATGCTTCCTGTAGATACTGTAGAAAGCTAGCAGTAGTAACCTAAAGTCAAGTCTTGTCCATGTACCCCAATGTAAGAATATTTATATATTTTTCATTCATGGCTGAAACATGAAACTTTATTTCAGTGTCATGTATGTGAAAATCTTATTCAGATACATTTAATTATAGTAAACCAGAAAAGGATAGTATTTTCTTTTACTCATTTCATAAGTGATTCTTGTATTAGGACCAAGAATATGGACTTTTGAACCATTTCCCCTTGATTCCAAGGTGCCTAAAACATATAAACCCCAACCTACTCAATTAAACAAGTAAATTCAGAGCCCTCAAACTTTATAAATCATATTTTTGTCCTTAGGATGATCCTTATGCACATGTAGCTACTGAAAGATGTCAATAAGTTACTAAATCAAAGACAAAGTATATCGAAAGGGATTCTTCTTATACTAATACACAATAAAAGAAATAAAATAAGTCTAGATTACTTGGGAAACAGTGCACAAAAAGAGAAGGTCAGAATATATAATTATAAGCCCATCAACTATTTCTGAGCAGCAATGTCGATTTTCCTTGTGAGACCAAAATGAAACATTTCTTTGTTTCTCAAGCACAGGGTTTTAAGACAGGAGATATACTATCATTCTATTAAGAGAATAAAAATGGCTTGTTTGATCTTTTGAATGTTAATGTGTTGAAAAGATTATTGGAAATAAGATTGAATTCTCTGAAGTGAGAGAAACATTATTCAGATATGTTTAATTACGTGACAAGTTCTTGTCCCTCCTATCCTTTAATGCATTAATAATGGGTTCATATTTCAATTTGGTTTTTTTAAGAGTGGCTTTAAAGATTTGAGATGTTATAATAATGCATTATCAAGAATTTAGCTCTTACATTCTTATATCTGATGAATTATTGATACATTGTTTACTTTGCTCTTTCTTTTCTCCTTCTAATATGCAATTGTATTAAATACGCAATTTTAATTGTGCCAAATTAAAAGACCCAATAACAAAGCTAACAGGTTCTCTACTATCCAGATGCTTGCCTGAGGTGGAATTATTTGTTTTTTTATTTTATTTATCAAATTTATATAGCCATCCATCTCATGTATGTTACTCATCAACATACAAATAACTAATTAAATATCATTTAATTTGGAAATTAAATTTTACTGTATAAGAACTTGTTTCTAAGTATGCTTTTACATAAAAACCTATGAACAATAAGTAGGGAACTTTTCATGTTTTAGTTTGGGTGATTCTCCACATCTTGAACTATAATTTTCAGAAGTCATGGCAAGTGCAATAAAGTGTGAAAGAAGTTATGGTTCAGCAATACTTCTAGGTATATAAATTCCCTATTCCTGTTTCAGCCATAACCTGACACACTGGATTTCAGACTGGAAGTCATCAGTGATGTAAATATTGCACATTATTATGTTGTCATCACTTCCAGTAATCAAATAACACATATTTATAGTTTTTTAAAAATCAATAATTAGTTTTAATGATGTTACTGTTATTTTTGAAAAGTTAGTCGTGCTCCTAAAAGAGAAACTTATTTCTCAAGTAAATAATCAAGAATGTAGAATGTGGATTTAAAACAGTCCATTCTCCAGTTAAATAAATTTTGAGCGCCAGAAATATAAGGGAGTCTCTGAAATGAGTTTTGTCAGTTAATTATTGTGATTATTGAGTGTTCCAGATAATTTATACAAGTTCTACCTGATCTAGAGGTTCAAACTTCACATACATTTCAGATTTATATAACAATAATTGCTGAATCATAATAATATCTTTTGAATTTTAATAAAATATATTAACCCACAGTTATACATTTCCTTCTGTGCTCATTGGCTGAAAGCTTTTGTGAAAAATTGCAATTAATTTTAAAATGCAATTATGTCTTTGCTAATTAGCTTAATGTAACAGTTTCCTCTTCTTGATATGTAATAACATGCCTGATAGCTACATGGTGTAATGTTACTGAGAAATTAAGTAATGCTTACTAAAAGCTTTTGAGTGACTTCTCTTGGGGCCATATTATTTCTAAATACATTACTGTATTATTGTTATTAATAAAGCAGTTTTAATTAGCTGATAGAAACTTTCTTTCTTTCTTTCTTTCTTTCTTTCTTTCTATTGTATAATGCAGTTTCACTGTGAAGATTTTCTTTCTGTTTTCTATTTAACTCTTTTTCTTGTTTTTCTGCTCTTTTGCAGCAAATTTGCTGGATAGACTTTCGGTTTGCTGCTTGTTAAATCTGTTTTTTTTTTCTTTGTCAATTACCACAG